TCAGAAATTAATCGCTAATCTGGCTTAAATCAGTCTATTTGAGGCTTTATATGCATAGACCTAAAGTTGCTAGGAATATCTGGGCTAAGAGGTAGCAGCGACAGCGGGATAACTGCTAAATATGTATTGACCTAGCAACAGGCAGCCAGGTTACCTGACACATCCTTTTGACAGCACAGGTACCAAAAAAATGCCTAGACAAGTGTTTCGCCGATATTGTGCCGCTGTGTGGCCTAACTGTGAGAGGTTCGGTTCACCAGAGTGTTTTCCAGTATTCCGTGCCTGCTTTCTGAACGATTCTCTGGTTTTGCAATTGATGATTTTTGACTTTCTCAGAAATGAATCGCTGTTTTTTTTGCTTCTGTGCTGTTCGAGAAACAGGTTTCGGTAAGCCTGACTCCACTAATGATCCGTGAAAGTGGGCTCCACTCGCCTTCTCTAAAAGGAAAATTGCTAATCTGAGTCAGTGTAGTTTTCGAAGCGAAGTTTGCCGATTTCATACCTTTTGTGGTTTATAATGGAAGCACGCGAACTATGAATGAAAGCAAATGATAACCTCAAACAAGGTAATCTACTGGTATTTTGATATCATGGATTATGTCCAAAGTCCTTGTTGGAAACCGTTGCTGTACCTCATTAGGGGTGCACTGCAAGATAAATAGTTGTCACTGAGTAAGTTTGAAAGGGAAAAGTACAAGTTTCTGTTGCTGAGCAGTAACTCACACAAACTATATTGTCAATATTCTACTACCACCTACTAAGGTGCCTTATGTCATGCCGATGGACATGTGCTTGGCAACTGTCTATTCCTTTTTCCGTCTGCAGGATACAATGCGACTGATAGAGCACTGCTTGAATTCCACGGATCCCTCACTCCGCCTCTCCATCTGCGCCTTCTTAACCCACATTCTTCTGCGGTTTGTTGACGCCAGCAACCGTCGTCTGTCCTCCCCGACTTCAAAGCCAACTTCACCTACTTTTCGGTTTTCCGGGCTGCCGCGCCCTCTCTGTACGGAGCTAGTTTGCCAACTCCTCCAGTTCTCCCCGGATGAGCTCCAAAAAACCGGTGAGTATGTTTGTGTGTGACAAGTTCTGGCATCTATTTTTTTCTCTATTCTGCTCGGTACGCAATGTAGATTGAAGCTAGAGATGGAGTAATTAACTATGCCCCGTTCGTGCAGCTAGCAGTCCGATATCCACTCTATGCAGCACCCGATCCATCAGCAAAACAGGCGGGATTTTCATGGTAAAATAGCGATGCGTATAGTTCGTTTTTAGTTGACTTTATGCTCTTAGCCTCTTTCAGCCACAGTATATCAGCGACTTGTAGTTCATCTCCTTTTGCACCGAAATAGCGACATCTTACTCGCAGCCGTTCTTCTCTAATTCAATCTCGAAAGAGCGTTTATTGCCGCAGTCGCTTCAGGTTGACAACCTGGTGCATACTATTCCCACCGAATTTATTTAACCTCAGATGAACTATCCGCCTATAGTGTTTACTGATCCTTGCTATGCTTACTGGTCGTATTGGTTCACGAATTATCCGTACCAGCTAACCTCGTAGTCAGACTCCCGGTGACCGCTTTACAGGTAGTGTTTCGCTTTCGAATACTTGGTCGGAGTTACCCAAATCCGCACACTTTTTTACTTCGGCCTTATTGTGAAGGCACTAATTTCGACACGAGTTCAGAGAAGAAATATCGCTGAGTATTCGTCCCTTAGGGTCAACGGCGCGCATGATCAAATTATCAGAGACATTTATTTTACTGCTTCACTAATAGATATCTCCGATCGGCCGTAGAATTCAGCGCTTGTAAATTCCTCCACAGGCCGCGACCGAAATATTTTTCTAGGTATCAGATTTCAGTACGATGTTTTGTAAGGTACCAGAGCAAAAAAGGTGTGTTTGGTTGCCACAGGGCAGAAGGTTATTTGTCAGGGACGAACTGAAGTTATTCGAGGATTTTAAATGTTGATGTCGCTCTCATATTCAAGGCAGTGTTGGTGTTCGCACAATTTGGGTGTAGGCTGCAA